ATGTTTCCCTATTCCAAAACAAACAGTCCATGGCGGAGCAGAGTGCTGACGCTGGAATTTTTGGGAATTATCAGAAGCTGGCTCTCAGACCATAGTGCTCCTGGAAAATCCTTTTTTATTAAACTGACCATCTCCATCTCACACATATACAGCAGCTCAACTACTGATCGAAGCTGACTTCAAAGAGAAGTTGAAGTAAATGCAGTCAAAGAGCCAAAAGTCGTGTGATGAGGTCTTTGAATTTTAATGTGAGTGTGTCTAGACATGTGAGGACAAGGCTGATGTCATGTGTTTTACATTCAAGTAAAACCTGAATGAAAAATATAATTCAGTGTATTTGAATAGAACTCTCTACATGAACACTTTTACGTTTCAGACAGCCGAACAATACAACTGCAAGTGAAAGTTTTTTCTCTTTTCACTCACTCACACTCTCTGTTTTGCTGCGTGCACGGCTGACAAAAACCCTCTTTTGTAAGGGCATGAATGAAGGTGTGTGTGTGTGTGTGTGTGTGAGTGAGAGATTCTTCTCAAACTGAGTGGCAGGATGCAGGCTACCAGGAAGAGATAACTGCCTGAATGAAGTGGGCTCCCCCATTCGTTCACACACACGCGCGCACATACACACACACAGTGAGGGAAATCAGTGTACAAAGAGATGGAAATGTGTTTAGTGCACTTTAATGGCATGAGATAAGCACACGGCCAAATATTCACATTCTGTTTTCCCAAGAACAGCAGCAGCAAGATGATCAAACACACAGAGTCATTTCCACCGTACATACACACATATGAAACAAGGTCATAAGCAATATGTAAACAGATGGATATGAATCTGACACGTATGTAGATGTGAAATTTACACCCAGCTGCACCACATAATATAACATACATATTGGTGAGTAATTAAAACAGGGTTTTTAAAGTGATCAGTCATTTTTTAAGAGGGTTCCAACATAATATATATTTAAGGTGATTTGTAAAAATGGTACGATTATCCTTACTTGATCATGTCAAGTCAACTTTATTTCATAATACACATTGTTTCAAAGCAGCTTTACAGAAAATAATGATGTTAATATCTGAGATATAATGATGTTATATCTTCATGTATTTTAGCAGATTGGGCGACAATATCGTTTACATTAAGCAGTTGAGATTTGCTATATAGCATACTTGCCTACATCAAAATACTGTATGTATTGATTAAGCTGGACACAAATGTCAGAGATGTAAGAAAATCTGTAGTAATGTGCCTGTCTATTAACAACTTTTACCTCAGTTAAAAAGTCTAGAAAGCCTTTTTTCTCCAAAACTCCTATTATATTCAGAACAAAATTATTATGTGTATTCTTTGCATTTTTGTGACAGGTGCAGTTTCTCAATGAGAGAGAGACTAACTTATCTTGAGTAAAGCATTGACTTGGCTAATATGAAAGACAATAAAGTATCATTTGCTTTGTTCATTACATTTTTATGAATTACTCCCCATTGTACTTCTCTGCCATTAAGCTATCCTTGTTTACTGGATCAGACTACTATAAACTAGAGGACTATAAACTACAACTACACAAACTCAACCACTGCCCTCTATAAAACAAATGGAAAAAATGTATGTGTAGGCAATGAAGAAAGAAAGAGGAATGAAGTGCAGAAAGTATCTGACAGGAACTCCAAACACTATGAATGAACAATACAAAGGGGGAAAAGAGGGTAATGGTGTTACTTTTAGTGGGTGTTACTTTGATGGGTGATCCATTACTACAACTATATTTTGTATATACCATAAATTCACCCCTAACGTATTCTGTTTTGTTTAATTCTATTTTTACTTGTCCTTTTTAACTTCACTTTACTTCCTATGTTATTTTCTTTACCTGACCTCATTTATTTTCTGTATTTTCATTTTGCTATTATAAGTACTGTGTAAACACTATGGCAATATTGTAAATGCTCTCAATCATACCAGTAAAGATGTTGACTCTTACTCTGAGAGTTGCGTGTTTGCCCCTTAAGCTAAGTCAGTCTGTAAACTCCCTCGGGTTTGTTTATGTTTCTCTTGCCTAAACAGGGAGGTGTGGGCTAAATTTGCATAATCAGAAAAGATTGGTTATTCTGTGGCAACAATGTCATTAGGTTTACAATGTCTTAAGATAACAGAAACAGATAACATCGCCTAATGACTGTATAATGTTACTAGCCCTTTAGTGACCTATTGAAACCAATAGAGCTCCCGGTTTCTGTAAACAAGAACAGAAGTTCTAAACAATGCATTTACCTCATTAATGGAGCTAATAGCCTTCTGTTATGTCAACCAAAACGAACCATTAATAGGAACTCATGAAAGTGGTACACCTTGAACATTCAGAAGTAAATGTGCACGCATTTCAGGTTTTGCAACCCAAATGTACAATAAACGCTGGCAAAACGTAACCAAATCCAACTTGCCACACCAAAACCCTTCTATATAGTTAATAAAGTGAGTGAATAATGTCTTTATTTACATTCCAAAATGTGTATTATAAATGCCAAAATATGTATTTTAATGGTATGGTTAAGTCTAGTGTTTAGTCATCACAATTAGCTTATACCAAAAACAACACATGTAAAGGAGAAACGGATATATAAGCAAACGTATGATGTGTGGTCCCTATGTTGTGGGGACCAAATGTCCCCACAAGTATAATTTCCCCATGGGAAAAACAGCTTATAAATCATATCAAATTATGGGTTTTTTTTCTGTTTTCTGTGAGGGTTGTGTTTTGGAGAAGGGGTAGAGTTAGAGGGTAGAATAATACAGTATATACGGAATATTAAAGTATACAGTATGTCTAAGGAAAGTTCCAACAAAACATGAAAACCCAATGTGTTTGTGTGTGTGTGTTATGTCAAACAAAGCCTAGGTTTAATACTGTGGGCCTGTAAACAATTAAACTAAATTTGGGACCATTCATCCGAAAGGCACAGCAGCTCCCCCCCAATGACACCTTGCCTTTAATTAGCATGGCTATTTCTGCTCAAACACCAACACAGCGCAGATATGCTAATGCAAGGCTATTTCTGCGAACGAACGCGTCGGTAAAATGCTCCTTCAGCTAAGAGAGTGGCTAACGTTAGCATAAGAGAGAGCTAAATCGAACACGCTCAATAACCTGGACAGTTTTTGGATGGTCAGCATTTCACCTGGTGTGATGCAAAGATTTTCAAGCACTTTAAACGCCACATCCACCAATTCGTGTCATTACTGTATCAACTACATGAAGCTGTGGTTTATGAATTACATCTGTTCACTTTAATATTACCATCATGATGTTTTAGAGAAGTGTCTTTCTTGGGGCCACTGCCAAAAGTAGACTGAACATTAATGGAAGTTTAGCATGATGGCAGATGAACCATACCTGAAATGTTATCATGAGAAGGGCATTCAGTCATCTTGGGTGTACACTGGTATTTATATGGGAGTTGGGTACATGTTCATATACATGGTACAGGCTGTTTGCTAGCATTTTTAAGTTCCAGTACTAACAGTATGAATTACGAATATGTGATAGAAATTGTGTTTGCAATAAAGATTAAAAGTGTTTTTTTTTGTCTATTTATTTATGTATGTGCTTAAAGGTTATGTGATGATGTTGTCCACCCTCTCCCAGTAGTACTGCTATCAACGAGCCTGTCAAATTTCTAGGCTGAATATTTCACAGTTTGGAAAAACAGAGATCCTCCCTATAACTGTAAAACCGTCATACTCCTACACGCATACACCCAAACACAGACACACTAATCCAAACACACTGCACGCATGCAAACACTCTTACGATCCCCTCTCAAAACCACTCAAACAGGCGCTTTATTCATTCTCATCCGTAATCCATATTGCCTGTGTGTATGTGTGCCCTCTGCGTGTGTACATACATCTGTCTCATGAAAGCCTGGAAACAATGCCAACACTTCGCAGCGGAGAAACAAATGCTCAGATTTATAGTTCCTGAGTAAACAGTATATATACACAAAGGAAAACGAGAGAGAGAGAATGTGGAGAGGGAGATTATGTGTGTAAATCTGTGTGCTGGCATGCGAGAGAGGGAGGAACAGAGCAATTTTACCAAATGTAACTGTAGATGATGCATTTAAACATCTGCTCTGCCTTAGGTGGAGTTTACTTACACATCCAAGAGAGGACAGACGAGAGTGAAAAAGAAATCATATTATGCGACAACATAAAGATACAATACATACACGTCACCACTAATATTGACTATATACATACATATACACACTGTCCCTTGAGTGCTTCTGTAATCTTTACAGTTTAACCCTCCATATTACATGAAAAATGTCTATAGGTGTTTAGGCTATACCACAAAATCTATAATCATTACGTAACAATAAACGTAAAATACAAATACAATTATGCACAATGTTAACGTATATAAAAGCCAAGGATTGTTTGTAATTACTCGTTCCTTTTGCTTACATAATGAAAATTAATTATTCTAATAACATTCGTCATAACTTTTGCCTGTCAGCAAGTTAAACACTGATTCGGATGGAGGGAGTGAACTCACTTTCACATTCGTTAGATTGATATAATAATTATATAAGAGATTGTAAATCGAAGGCACTGGTTTATGACAGCGGAGCGCACGTGGCCTCGCGAGCCGCGGGATCATCCCGGGAGAAACCGAATTAAAGAGGGCCAGATCATTTCGGCGGGGGAGGAGGGGTCGTGCGAGGCTTGTGAGGGATATTTCTACGTCAAAAAAATTAAAAATGGATCAAAAGAGGCGTCGCTGATGCTCGCGCACCAGAGGACTCAATGCGTGACCAGCGCGAGTCTCCGCGTAAAAATACATAAATAAATAAAGTTTGACAACTCACTCCTCCATCCGTTTATCACTATGCAGGAACGAGAATTAGATGTTTATGCTTTCTCATTTGATCACCTGACAAAACGTGTTATCAGATCAAAAGCAAGGATAGATCGCACAAAACCGTCTTACCAGCTTTGCAGGGATCCTTGTAGTCTATCGTTTCTGTTTTCTCCTCTTCATAATAATCATAACTGTCATCATAATCGAAGCAGCTGTGCACGGACACTTTGCCCCAAAAAGTCAAGCCGGCCAGCAGGAGTGTGATCCAATTCATTTTACTGGTCAGTGCAGAGTGAAGGTAGTCCATCTGAAGTCTGAATGAGCGCGGATCAGAGTGGAGTGTCTCCTAAGAGTCCGGTAGTGGTGATTTAGCGCTACACGCGCCGTGTGGACATCATCCTCATCTTCATCATCCTCATCGGTCCGGTTCGACAGACGGGGCAGGACCGTCAGCGTCGCGCATCTCAGCTGGACGCCCAATGCATCGACGTGAACCTCAACAACTGCGGCTGATACCAGCTCACTTTCCTTTTCCACAGTCAGTTTTCCCGAAGATCTGCAATGAAAGCCAGTTTCTTTTTAACGAAACAAGACACTGGTGGCAGGGGGTGCACTTAAATTAATACTTAAATGAAGATCTTTAACATGTTTAAATGAGCAAGAGCAAGGTTTTACAGAAGCTTGAAACATCGACAGATAGATAGATAGATAGATAGATAGATAGATAGATAGATAGATAGATAGATAGATAGATAGATAGATAGATAGATAGATAGATAGTTTCCTGTGCATACGAACCACTTACTTTTAAAAGAACAACAGACATACATCTTTCGTGCATTATAAACACAAGAAACGTCTGTTTACTCCAACCAAAACGAGCCGGTAGCAGTAAAAGTCACACATTCACTAAAATGTGAGCAATAATCCGACAAAAGCACTGTTTTCCGTCGCCTATACAAACCTTCAGGATGTAACGCAAGTTCCATGTAGGTGAGATCGTGCTTAAAAACTGTTATAAATACAACAGTCGCTTTATTAGGAGGTGACAGTAAAAGCGGCTGCGGTGTGACATTTAACAAACCTGTTTAACTCCCCTCATAAAGTGGGTCTCTCTCTCTCTGTCTGTCTGTCTGTCACACGCGTCTCTGAACTAAAAGCAGTTTCTCAGTGTGTAATTTGCTGCGTGAGGCTGCTTTAATTTGGTCAGTGTGGACCTCAAAATAGCTGCAGCCTGCTGAAACAAGAAAGCACAGAAACACTAATAAAGAGCTGGCTGGAGCTGATATATACGTTTGCTCCATTCAACACATCTCAGTTAGATTGTATAAACTTCTCTCACTTGAGTGAAGTGACTGCCAAAACGCCGAACGGACTCACAAAGGCAGCTTTGAGCTCGTTTATCCACTCTCATGTCCCGACTAATTCAATTTACCGCCCATAACCCCGGGGCCCGGTCTCCTTTAACGCCTATTTACCTCAGGAGCGCTTGCATCTCCGTCACATCTGACAGAACAGAGCGGAGCGTCCAAGTAAACGCGAGGAGACTCGAGCCTTTATCGCGCGCCACTTTACAAACACAAAGAATAGACGCGCCGTAGTTTTAACACCGTGGCGTCAAACCTTGTTAAAATATGAGAGAGCTTACCTCAGAGAATGCCCTCAGGGTCTAGTGTTTTACAGCCTCAAAGCACAGGCTCATCCTGAGTACTGCCCTCATATTCCCTCTCTCTCTCCCTCCCCTCTCTCGCTCTCTCTGGAAACACTTCTTCCACAGCCACTGGGATATTAGAGTGCGCTTGCTGACTGGTACCGCTTATTCCAAACGTGCCCATTTCCCTGGAGATTAACGAGTCTCTCCCTCTCTCTCTCCTGACACACACATACACACTGATTAATCCCCCCCCCCCCCCCCCCCCCCCCCCCCCCCAACAGCGTGGGTGGGCGCCCCCCCATGAGAGACACGGAGCTTACCTCAGAGAATGCCCTCAGGGTCTAGTGTTTTACAGCCTCAAAGCGCAGGCTCATCTTGAGTACTGCCCTCATATTCCTTCTCTCTCTCTCTCTCCCTTCCTCTCTCTCTCTCTGGAAACACTTCTTCCACAGCCACTGGAATATTATAGTGCGCTTGCTGACTGGTTCCGTTTATTCCAAACATGCCCATTTCCCTGGAGATTAACGCGTCTCTCTCTTTCTCCTGACACACAAACACACAGATTAATACACCCTCCCTCACGGCAAGGTAACTGTGTGTTGACGTCACGCCATCAATCCATCAAGCTATGCCTCACCTAGCAAAAACTCATGCACTGCATGACTAGAGCACTAAAGTGTTTGTAAACGGGCGTTACTGTGGGTAAAAGTATGAATGATTAACATATATGAATGGCTGCTAACATTCTGGAAAGGAGTCAGAAGGCATAGCTAGTAACCAATTCAGTGCAAAGATGTTTTTGAAAGGAGGGGAATCTCCTTGGATGGGTGGAACAGGGAAGATAATCTGAAGCAAAGTTCTTAATGAGTGCATGTTTGTGTGTGTGTGTGTGTGTGTGTATCAGGTTTTGCCTACACCAGCAGTCACCCAGGAGGAAAACATCTTAATAACTGAGCACCAATAATAATTTAGCACCTAAACGGCATATTAGAATGTTCTCTGAAGGATCATGTAACACTGAAAGCTTTGCCATCACAGGAATAAATTGCATCTTTAAATATATTAAAATAAAAAACAGTTCTTTTAAATTAAAATAATATTTCATATGAATAATGATAAACAAATGATGATATGTTCTATTGTTTAATAATGGCTCGTATTATTATCAATGTTCAACATTTTGCTGCTTACTGTAATATTATTGTGGAAATCCTGATCCTTTTTCTGTATTACATGCAGCCTTGGTGAGTGTAAGATTTTTCTTTAAAAAAAATGCAATCTTAATATTGTCTATTGTTGTTTTCTCTATAATTTCCCCAGAACATGTGTGTATGGGTTTGGGAAGGCTTGTGAGGGTCAAAATGACATCTGAGGTGGTCTTTATTACATGAAAAGCATCTTGCTTTAAATCAACAGGTTATATGTGGGGGTTCAATTTAGGGTTAGGTTTACCAAATAACCTCTGCTATATTAAAACCGTTGTGCTTATGAGATGCCCCGTCAAATACAGTGAAACCATCAAGTGTGTGTGTGTGTGTGTGTGTGTGTGTGTGTGTGGTTGAGGTATACCTATGATGAAAATTACAGGCCTCTCTCATCTTTTTAAGTGGGAGAACTTGCACAATTGGTGGCTGACTAAATACTTTTTTGCCCCACTGTATGTGGGGGTTCAATTTAGGGTTAGGTTTACCAAATAACCTCTGCTATATTAAAACCGTTGTGCTTATGAGATGCCCCGTCAAATACAGTGAAACCATCAAGTGTGTGTGTGTGTGTGTGTGTGTGTGTGTAATGTAGTGATTTCACAGCCCAATGCATGTCAGCAGCTAAATTTGATTGCATTTGATGAGACTTTCCATTAAAATTAATAACCTAATTAAAAGTGGGCGATCAACTGTGGTAGTATCATGAGTTCTTATGGAAAACACCAACATCTCTCTATAGTCTAAATAAACCACTTAGAATAATCATATGTGACCAGGTAAGAAAGAAAGAAAAGAAGAAGAAAGTGATGTGACGTGCAGCCATGTATGGTGTCCCATACTTGGGATTTTAACCCATCCAAGTGCACACACACACCATGAACACACACCCAGAGCAGTGTGCAGCCATTTTTTGCTGCGGCACCCGGGGAGCAGTTGGGGGTTTGGTGCCTCAGTCGTGGTATTGAAGGTGGGAGAGAGTGCTATACATTCACTCCCCCCACCGGTACGAGACTCAAACCCACAACCTTGGGTTACGAGTCCGACTCTCTAACCATTAGGCCACGACTTCCCCCTTATGGTCTGAGGATGAAAAATTTTGACCACAGAATAATCATATGTGACCAGGTAAGAAAGAAAGAAAAGAAGAAGAAAGTGATGTGACGTGACGTGCAGCCATGTATGGTGTCCCATACTTGGGATTTTAACCCATCCAAGAGCACACACACACCATGAACACACACCCAGAGCAGTGTGCAGCCATTTTTTGCTGTGGCACCCCAGGGAGAAGTTGGGGGTTCGGTGCCTTGATCAAGGGTCTCACCTCAATCGTGGCATTGAAGGTGGAAGAGAGTGCTGGTCATTCATTCCCCCATCAACAATCTCTGCTGGTACAGAGACTCAAACCTGTGACCTTTGGGTTACAAGTCTGACTCTCTAACCATTAGGCCATGACTTTCCCCAATGGTGTAGCAAATTGAATATATCAATTAAGATTCCACTGCCCCCTGTGCATACTACTAAGAGAACAATAGGTCAAACATTTATAATTCTAAAATGCTTGAATTGCTCTACTGGAATCTCAGTGCAGTTCTTACACTGCCAGTACTCCAACACTAATCAAAGGTCTATTCCAGGACTTTAATGGGTGACATCTGATCCCCAGTAACCTCAGCAGCAATCCAATGTTCATTGGGATGGAGGCGTAAGTGAGAAAATGAATTAAATAAAGAGGTGATTAGCATGGAGGTGCCAGATTAACAAACACAGGCTGCAGTTTGACTTGTCTTTAGTCTGGTTAAGCCTGGAATGGACTTAAAATGTGCTATATAAGTTTCCTTCATACATGAACATTTAGAAAGTTGCTCTAAATAAACCCCTTTAAACTCTTTGTAAAATCTTTATATTAAATCAAAATCATTCTCACAACAGTCAGCCATGCTGAAATACAAACATAACATTTAAGTGATATTGCTTTTATTTTTCCAACAACTATATCTTGAACATTGGGGGAACATATTTTTGGGGGTGGGGTAACAAATATATTGGCCCTTTTTGGTTCTCAAAAAAACAATTAAAAAAAAGGCCCAAATCTGAATACATTTTTGAATAAAGTCTTTATTTGTAATACTTTTTTTCCCTAAATGTGTTAAAGGCCACATTTGAAATAATTTTTTTGCACTAATGTCAAACATTTTCATAGAAAGGCCGTAGCACACCAAACTGATGGTCGGCTGTCGGCCGATGTCAGGCCATCGTTGAGCATTTGTCAACCCAGTTTTTGCTATGTGTTCTGCACCGTTGGAACGAGTGGGATCACCATTGGCTTTACGGCCGATTAAGGTGTTGGAGTCATCGTGCGAGTGACCACTCTGATTGGCTCATAAGCATTCTAATATAAGAAAATATTCATAACAACTAAGCCGTCTGGAATGAAGAAAGTGAAGATGATCAACATCATTTATATTGAAAATGATAAGCAGTTGCTGCTTTGTTTATGGTTTGTGTATCCGAAGTGCTAGTTCCACTTTCCCTTTGACAAATACAGACTACTGCCACCTGCTGGTACTGAAAACTTTCTTCTCTCACACAAGCACAGAATATACATGCTACAGGCTAGTACTTGCTAGTTGGCTGTAGTTTTCATGTGTTTTCAACCTAATTTTTTTGGCCCAGATGCAGGTGACACAAGCTGCTTTTGTTGCCACTAGTTCTTTGATGTCAGATTGGTATGTCACAACTTAATACAGTGGGGCGGGGTGAAAAACCAACAACAACATAACTACATACACTAAACTAAATGATATACCTAACTACTTAATGACATAACTAAATTATAACATTTCTTTTAAGCACAGACCTGACTGTAACGTGGAGTCGTGACAACGGAGTAGAGGATCCACATGCAAGGCTTTATTAAAAGCGTATTCAGACAGGCAGGGTCAAACACTGGCAAAACAGTAAAATCCAAGGAACAGGCAAAAGAGTAATCCAATACACAGGTAATGGTCTGGGCAGGCAGCAAACAATCAAATGCAAGGAAACAGTCCCAGATCAAAACACGAAGGCAAGGCAAGGCAACAAGGAACAAGGGTAACACAGGAGAACACGGCAATGTTACAGGCTAACAACCATCAGCGATGTGTTTGTGTCTGAGTGGATCTTTTATAGTCCTTCTAATGTGAGGCAGATGTGAACTGGTAAGGAGTGCTGATAAATCCGGGCAAAGGATTGTGGGAAATGGAGTCCTGAGTAAATGGTAAAAGGATGGAGTGACCTCTGGTGGAGATCATGGGCACTTCAGTGAGTGATCGTGACACTGAGGCTGACACATCAAGCAGACACTTGGGGGTTTCTTGTCCAAAAGAGTGCATTGAAGAAAAAGACAAACAGTTGAAGAACTAGAATTTATTGTAATGAATCTGAACTTTTTGCAAATTATATTTGCATTGTACTAAATGGTTGTCTTAACCACAACCTAAAAACACACGTGACAAACAACAGTACAGCTGCGCATCTCCAAGCAACACACCCAATGGTGTTTTGTTCCTGATTGAATTTTTTATTTTTTTTACAAATCAGTTAAGTTAATGATTCGCCGACTTACAAAGGCAGTCACCTGTTTGGTTCCTGAATAATTCAGCTTTTTAACAAATCAGATGAATGAATTCTTTCTCAACAAGACAGTCGTCACCTACTGGTGTATCAATATAACCTATATACAGAGTCGCTGAGAAATTCCCACCGCTACAGTACTGCACAGTGTTTCTGCTCAGCTGTGTTTCTTGCAAAGCCTCGGCTTTTCCAGGCATACAAGACCAAATCCTACTTACCTGAATGGGGAAATTCTGAAATCTCAAAACCTGCTTGCCACACTCAGTTAAATAATGCATTTCAAATCAGCAACAGAATCTGACATGAACTGTCCCATAAATGTTGTTTCTCACGTAGAGCTTATTTTTCAGGCTGGACTAGTCAATGCGCATGTGAAGTCTTAATCATGTGAGCAA